AGTGGATAAAAGAGAACATATTCCTTATAGAGAAATTATTGGAAGCTTATTATTTCTAGCTACAAATACACGCCCTGACATATCCTATGTAGTTAGCTACCTAAGTCAATTTTTAAATAATTTTGGAAAGAAACATTGGACAGCTGCGAAGAAAATACTTAGATATCTCAAAGGAACAAAATATTTTGGAATCCTTTATGAAAAATGTCATGACAGCAAATCAAATAAATTAAGTTTAGTTGGATATACTGATGCAGATTACGAAGGAGACGCCGAAACAAGAAAATCAAGGTCTGGATACATTTTCTTGTTAAATAACTCTCCCATAACCTGGTGTTCACAGCGTCAGCAAGTTGTTGCACTTTCTACAACAGAAGCCGAATATATGGCATTATCTTTCAGTTGTAGAGAAGCAGTTTGGTTACGAAATTTTATTAAAGAATTGGGATATTCTCCAGAACATTCACGGACTATCATTAAAGTTGATAACCAAAGTGCAATAAAATTAGCCAACAACCCGGAATTTCACAAAAGAACAAAACATATCGACATAAAATATCACTATGTTCGTGAACTGATAGAAGAAGACAAAATCAGTATTGAATTTGTCGAGTCTAAAACCCAATTAGCCGATATCTTTACGAAAACATTACCAAAAGAGAAGTTATACAGTATTCGAAGAAGTTTGAAGATTTTAGATTTTAATGAAGTAGAGGAGGTATTGGAAGGACTTCAATAAATGTATCATACTGTATAGTTTATGTTTATATAGTTTGTTGATGTTTTTGTTTGATAGAGTTGTTAATAATTGTCAATAAAAAAAATATACATTTTTCTGCTCCTCTATAAATCTTCATTCAAGAAGATCTCTGCTGGTTTAAACATATTCCTATAATAACTGACTCCGCGTTATTCATCCATCAATATCTATATACAAATTTAAATCTTTGGCGAAGGTACTAGAATTTTCACCAATTCTCACCAATACTAGAAACATTATCTCGTTAACTCTGGAATGTACTCGAAAGCGCCTCCAACATACTCGTCACATATGTTTGGTCTTAAGAAGTTTAATTATGTATGATAATCGGACAAGTTGAGCCTCAAAGGCCAAATACGACAGGGAGAGACTTGGAGGATTAGAGCATGACTAAATAATGAAAAAGCTTGCATAACAGTATATAAAGTATGTACCAAAATTATGAAGGTATTTTGTTATAATATAACCAACATCTTCCCTTAACGAAGTGCCTCTTGCGGATATTAAACGACAACGTTCAACTGACTTCTACACACTGCCTTGGTTAAGGAATCTGCTGCCATTTCTTCAATGGATATTTTCATAACACTAATTTTTTCATCTCTGACAAAATGGAATTGGACGTCGATGTGTTTTGTTCTGGAATGGTAGCTGAACTTTTTGGTGAGGTCTATGGTGCTTTTGAAATCGCAATATATGGTAATAGGACTCATATCTTTGAAGGTTGATGGAAATTTTTAACCACAAAGCTTCTTGAGTAGCATGAGAAAAAGCTATGTACTCTGATTCAGTGGTTGATCGAGCTATGGTCTGTTGTTTTTTACTCAACCAGTTAATATTGCTCTGGCCAAGTTTATTCGGGTAACCGCTAATGGATTTTTTATGATCTCTTCTTCATTGGCATAATCGGCATCGGAAGATCCATAATAAAATATCTTTAGAACTGCTGAATTCAAGTCTAGCTTTTGAAGTTCCACGAAGATAACGTAGAATTGTCTTTACTGCTGACCAGTGTTCTCTTCCCGGGTTTGCAATAAATTTACTCAGTACCCCCACTGCAAATGCAATATTAGATCTAGTTGATTGTCATATGATAAACTTCCTATTGTCATCTGACAGGGAATTATCTTGATTTGTTCTTTTTCTTCGTCATTTATAGGAGCCATATTATAATTCAATCTTTTTCCAAGTTCTAATGAAGGTTTCACGTCGCTCATTTCAAATCTTTGCAAAATTTCCTCAAAATAAGCTTCTTGGTATAAAGTTATATTGCCCGTTTTTCTGTTCCTTTTTATCCGAAGACCGAAACAATAGTTCGCTTCACATAGATATTTAATTTCTAAAGTTTTCTTCTGACCATCCTTTAATTTTCTTAGTGTTAAAAAATAAGAGTAAGTCATCCACATATACAACAACAATAATAAGGATTTCTTGTTTCTTAAACAGGTAGTATACACATGGATCAAATTTTGCTTTATTTAAACCTAGATTCTGAAGTTTTTCATCTAGTTTCTCATTCCATAGTCGACTGGATTGTTTTAAACCATACAAAGCCTTTTTAACCGACTTCAAAAAAGGAGGAGGTTATCAATTCGTCGCGATATTTTTTTTTATGTATGTTCAGCGATAATTCTTTAACACGGTGTCCGATTTCAATAATTCTTTTTTTGTTAGAAAAGGGCTACTTCAAGGGTGGTCCCATATAAATTCGGTCAAAATCTAATAATTAAGTCCATGAGAAAATCCTCAAACTCTTCATTTTTTATGTATGTTTAGCGATAATGCTTTACCACCTTGTCCGATGTATATGATTCTTTTTTTTGTTAATAAGGGGGTACCTCAGGGGTGGTCCGATATAAATGTGGTTAAGATGTGGTGATGGCATCTGCACGTTTTTGAAGTCGGTTTTTTTAAATTTTTAATTTCTATTACTTGTTTAATTTTTATTCTTATCTTTAAACATAAGAGGTTGTTGCATATAGATATCTTCTATTTTTAATTTTGGCTGCAAGAATACTGTAACTGCATCCATCTGATCTACATCCCAATTTCAATTATTAGCTTTCGCTATAAGAAAACGTAAAGTGATTCCCCTTAGCACTGGTGAAAATGTTTCATTAAAGTGAACACCGTGTATTTATATAAACCTCGTATTACTAACCTAACCTTGTAACGAACAAAATTTTCTTTTTCTTACGAAGAATCCATTTACATGAGATAAAATTACGATTTTTAGGTATATCCACTAATTCCCAAGTATTGTTTATCATTAGCGATAAGTACTCTTCTTCTATTGCTCTCTTCCAGTCTCCAGCATCTTCTCTAGAGAGCTCTTCTTCAACACTTTTTGGATCTTCTTGACTTTCTACTATTAGAGCCATGCAAAACATAATCTTTTAGTTTTTCTGGCAACTTATGCTTTCTTTGAGGATATCGCTTTTCTTCTTCTGTGCTTACGGCTTCAATAACCTTGATCATTTTCTTGTGCATATGTCTGATCTAACGTATCTGTATTGTTCATTTCGTTTTCCAATATTTTCATATCTTCATCTTCTATTGACTCTAATACTCTGTTTCTTTATTTTATGTACTTGTACTTGTTTCAGTAATAATATCAATTTCTTGTAGCTGTATTTCATTTGTAGGTGCAATTTCGTGTTCCTGCGACTTTGTAAATTGACTCTCATTAAATACTACATCTCTAGAATGAGTAATTGCTTTTGTGTTCTTATCTAAGAGTCTGTATCCCTTGGAATCTTCACAGTATCCAACACATATTAATTCTCTAGATTATACGTCCAATTTTATTCCCTTTTCTTTGGGTATATGTGCAAATGCTATTCATCCAAATATTTTCAGGTGATCTAAATTAGGTTTTGTACCATTCCAGGCCTCTTCAGGTGCTGCAATTGTAGGACTTCTATTTTTCAAGTAGCATGCAGTATTAAATGCTTCTGCCCAATAATCCAATGATAAATTTGCATCATAGATCATTGAACGGGCTTTTTTAACCTGATTCTATTCACTCGTTCTGCAACTCCATTCTGCTGTGGGGTTTCTATAGTTGCTTGATGTCTTATTCTATTATATTTTAAATATTCATGCATTTATAGGTTGCAAAACTCGTTTCCATTATCAGTCATTAACGCTAGTATTCTACAAGAAGTCTGTGTTTCAGAATAAATTTTTCAAATACTTCAGACTTGTTTTTTAAAAAATAAACGAACTTTTTTCTCGTAAAATGACTTTTCTTGCATCGGATCACATAAATCTGCATGAATTAATTCCAATTCCTTACTAGCTCTCCAAACTGTATGTTTTGGAAAAGTATCTCGGTGTTATTTTTGGACCACATTTTATTGCAATTAGAAGATCTCTCAATTTTAGATTGTTTAAGACCAGTAACAATATAAGCATGTATCTTTGGAATGTGTTTATTAATTATCTAAAATATGGCAGTTATAATTTTATTTAATACCTATTCTTCTGTAAACATAACATCAAAATGTCACTTAACATTTTTTTCAAAATCCGTTTGAAGAAAATTTACAATTTTGTAGGAGCGAATACACACTATTTTCTTTATTTAATTAATGTTGTCTCTTACTTTATAAAAATGATGAAAAATAGTATGTCATCACTTTGTTTTGATGAAATATATGGGTGCTCGGGGTGGTTATACTTTTCTTTTCGTTGTTTTCTCTTTTCATTTCGTTTGTTACATATAGTATGATTAGTAGATATTAATAAATTACCATTATTAAAAAAAAAATGGAAACAGGTATTTTGTACTTGATAAAGATAAAACTGAATTTTTCTGACAGTTAGCATTAATTTTTTGTCTTCATTTGCTTTACCTCACCTTCAACCGACCTCTGGTGGATTTTTTAGTACTAGGTACTGTTTGGTGCCATATTTTAAAAAGAGTTGAAACACCTGTAAAATGTCATTCGTCGCGGCTTAATTTCAATTCACATTTAGGTATATTACATCGTTGCAATGTCTATTTTAACTGGGATTGGTTTGAAAATAGCTAATAACACAAAATTAAATTGATGGGATATCGAATAGAAATTTGAGTTAAAATTTAAACGCCATGGTTATAAATAACTTTTAATGTGGGAGGTTAAAATTAACTAAAATGTTACAGAATAGACCCCATTTAGCCATATAAATGTTAGGTTTTGGGTCAAAAAATATTTTATTTAAAATTATAATTACTTATCTTGTATCTTTTCAGGTTCAAGATTTGGCAAAATACAATCGAAGGTCGGTTTGGTAGCCATAATATCGAGATACAATGTTACTCTGAACGAAAAAACTCAGTTACCTATCAAACTTACATCAAATAGAATACCAACCATTGAAGGAGGATTATGGCTTAATTTGGAAAAGATTTAACATTAAAATCAAATCCCTTAATGTATTGTTTCAGAAGTTAAAATGGTTTAAGAATAATTTATTGTTTTAAAAAGTATATAGGAATAATGGATATATTATTTAATAGTCGTTGATAAAAATTATATTTCAAAGAAATTGTGAGATTTGATTTTAAACTGACACTTCAAAAATGAGGTATATTATAATTCGAAAATCGATATTGACAACCAGGGGCGGTTTCTCCATTGGTTCATTTGTGTAGTGAACACCCAGTTACATTTCATAAAAATACAATATTTTAAAATAATAATTTTATTATTTTCATACATGTTAATATCTATTTTTGAATACGCCACTGTGCTCTGGATGATCGCGTTTCCGTGGCTCTCTTTTATAAGTGAGCCCGAGAGAGTGAGAAGTGTTCTGCAAGGTCTTTAGCTATAAAGAAATGTCACACGCCAACAGATCCGTGAAACGTAGAGAAACAGACATAAAATCACTTAAATCAACCTAGTTTGCGCAACGCACACATTGTCACAAAGTAGGGCAGGACATACGAATTTTACAATTATTGATAATTTTAGGAGGAGGTGCTATGACGGTATTAAAAGTGTCCGCATAGTTTTACATCATATGTCAAACTTGAAAGTGAAGATAGTCAGTTTTAGTGAGAATAAATGCTATTTGTTTTAAAATAGCATGACTTAAATGATATAAAAACACTTTCATTCAGTAAATCTTCAAATATAAAATTATTAACGTCAAATTAATCAGAATACGACTCAAAGTGCGTTCACTTCTCATATCACAAAATGGTGTTTATGTCCCCTCTACATTATTATATCTTGATGTTTCCAATCAAGCTGTCAAACTATAAAATGCACCATAAGACAATTTTAATTGTGTTTATTTAAAAACCGTGTTTAAATAAAACTGCGAATTTAATAACTCGGAAGTATGTGTGTCAATTCAATGATTATTAACGAAACATATCTGCCAATAAAAGTTATTTAAAAAATATATTATTTTATTAGAGAAGTGTGACAAATTGTGAAATGATTAAATTTACAATAAAAACCGAAAAACTGTAGGTAAATGTGTATGAAATATATTCGTTCAGTTGAACGCAATATCTAACTTTTTCGTTTTGTAATCTGTGAGTAGATAAGCTAATATAAATTAAAAAAAAATATCATAACTACCAAACCAGGCTTGGTAATTTGCTAAGAATTACAAATCATAGAACATCGTCATATGCTGGTATACAGTAATATAATAAGTTACACAGTTAATAAGGGACTAACAAAATTTTAATTCTTTCAAGAAAAAATTGTTTTTATAAAATGTACATGAGTACTGTAACAGACAAATTATAAAAAGAACATTTGTTGGACACCACAATGGATCATTTAAGGTTTACACTAAATACTGGATCATCTGATGAAAGTTGGTCAGATGATGAAGACAGTGACATTAGCTTAGGAGCACAACAGCTCTCTGATTAAGAATCGAAAGAAAATTTGATTTATGTCTCTATTTATATGTATTTTTTTTAATATATAGGTATTTTATATTTTAATACCGCCCTATTTTACTATCATTATTTATAAACACATAAAAAGGAATATTATTTAGAATAAAATTCACATCGTAGTACCTAGTTAGTAATTTACCATAATACATAATTTAAAATAAAAAAAGGAAATTTAAATATAAATTACTAACTAAAAATGCGTCCGCCTCTGCCTCTGACGTCACAGCTTCGCGCAGGGTCGAGCACGTGGCCACGGCATAAGAAACAATCGGCAGGCTAACTTGTCTTGGCGGCAACGCTACGCGCACATCTACGCGCACACCGCCATTTTGGGGTCCAACCTCTCAATCAAGCCAGTGGCGTCACTGTCGTCGTTTATATCAACAAAAACAAATCAGTAGCGTGAGTCTTAAATTTATTTTGTTTGTGATGTGTGTATTATGTAGTTATTGTTATTTTTTTAGAATTATAGATATTTTTTGACACTTTTTATATAGTAGTTATTTTCCAGTGTTAATTTGTTAACTTTTAAGTATTTTACTATGTCTGGGCAAAGTTGTGCAGCAAAAAACTATATGAATAAACTGTATTAAAAGATTTTTTCGGTTTCTTAAAGATCCTATTAGGTAGGTATGTATGGTATACTTTTAAAAAAAGTCCTAGGTTATGGGTCAGTTTGTCAGTTATAAACCTATTAGTAAGATGTAGGTAGGTGCCTAACGTCACGTAAAGTTTAGCGTCAATTTATATTTACTTATGTAGGTATATTATTAAGATTTAAAGTAAAATGTTATATTTTAAACGTCTCCCGTATGGAGTTGACAAAATGGAAAAATCTTTATTTTTATTTTAAGGAAAAAGTAAGTATACAAAATTCTGTTCGACGAAAAAATAGGTTTACTATATTAATATGTTAGGTCAGGTGTTAATAAATGAAGAAACTTGAAATGGACAAAAGGAAAAAATCTATATTATTTATTGATTTTACGAAGAAAAGTCACAGTTTTTCTGTCGGTTTTCCTTCATAATTTTAAAAGGAAACTTTTTCTTGTAATTTTTTTCATTAAGCAGAATTTTTTGTAAGGAATGACTTTTTTTCTGAAAAAAATGAATATTATTCGTAATTGTGTTATTCCCAAATATTGAAATGATTAACAAAAATTTATTTCTGATATTCATTTTGATAATACTAGATATGCGAAAAACAAAGCTTTATAATCTTGATAAATCTAAAGTATTTTCATTACAAAAAGCAAGAAAATCTTAATTAGTCATTAAAGAAATTATAAGTAGTAAATCAAAAATTAGTAATGAGTCACATCCAATCAAAAACATGTGTCTTAAGCAGTGCTATTAAAAATGTAAAATACTTATATTTTGTCGAAGTAAATTCAAAAGCCCGCCAATTTTCAAACTTTCTAAATTACCGACTGAGTATTAATTGCACAAAACTATTCCATATGTTGAAGGTAAACATGCTGCCAAATTTCTTTGAGGAATCTGCAACTCTTAATTATCCTTCCTCCATGATGGCAACTGTATAAACCCTATATCGGTCCAATTTCAAAGGACGTTCAAAAAATTGCAATGTTTAAATTTATTACATTCTGGAACTGAAAACTGCGAAACAGGTGGGGATGCTTTACTTGTAAGGCTGCATGAAATTCGTAGGACTAGTAAGGATGCGCCATTTTCCAAAATCGTGTATAATGGTGGCAATATTGTCGAAAATGTAAATATAAACAAGAATATTAATGAATTGCATGCACAAAATATTAATATTTTTTAAGAAAATTTTATTATATATGTGGATTTTTAATAAAAAAATGTCTTAAAATTTAAAGTTGCGATGTATGTACACAATATGCCTTACCACACGAAGACTTGGATACAAGCTCCATGTATTGTTATTATAAAGCATACAAAAAAAGCAAATTAAGATAGTTTTGGCAATTTAAAAATGTCAAATAATAGTTTTGTATGTTTAATAACAAAAATTGAAATAATTTTTCAACAAAATTTTGAATTATTTATCACTAAATCCGGCGTTTGTAATTTTTTTTAGATTTAACTAATTCCGAGATAACATTTGACGCTCCTTGTCCCCGATTTCCAGAAAAATATGTTATTAAGTTATATTTAAAGCTACTCATATATTACACTTTAAAAATATTAATAGAAATTTTAAGACCATCAATAAAAACAAGCTAATTATTTGGCGCAATCTGTAGAGCATATTGTCTTCCTTAATGCTGTTCTTATAAGTTAAATTAAAATATATTTTACGTAAATTTTTACTTTCTTGTTTTAATATGATCCTGCCTATCAATACCTTATTTTATTACAAAATCTTTAAATACGCTTTAATCCGACCCTGACTAAGACACCCGAATGACGTCGCCAAGGTCAAATTTTCTTAGTATGATATTTGTATGCGATCAGCGGCAAGTGAGCCTGCCGATTGTTTCTTATGCCATGCACGTGGCTGTACCAATCTCATCTTAGGCTCTACCTCCATATCTTTGATGAAAAATAACGTTGATATTTTTCATTTCAGGTTAAAAACTAGTAAACCATCACTTAATACGTTCATTTTTAGTTTCAAATATATCAAAGCGCCCCATTACCGCCTACAAAAGACAAAACAACATTTAAATTTAACATTTTGGATAAAATGATACGGTACGATTAAGTATTCACTTTTTTTATAAACTTCAAAACCTCAACACGGCTCTTCATCCACATCATTTTTAAACATTGGGTGACATTTTGTTTAGCGATTAATATTCATGCGAAAGTTGAGATAACTTTCAATGCAGAGGATCGAAAAGATTTCGCTGATGAAACTGAAACCAAGCAACTCGACGTTTTTGCCGATCAAACTTGGTCGACCTTTATTTTTTAGAAAAGCGCTCGAGCATGAAATCTGATAAAACATGCTTCAAATATGAATTAGAAAATAAATGTTGTGTAAGTCTTTTTCCGAGCGTTAAATGAAAATTTTACATTGCAACGAGCCGTGATGGCATAAAACGAATTGAATTAGACATTCGAAGTGCCGAATACACGAAGAAATAATAAGCATTTTCCCACTAAGCAAAATACATTTGCTAAAAATTTATTGCAAGATTACAAATATAAATGAAAGTTTTCTTGCAAGTTTGTTAAATATTTATTGATAGCTTTTGGCAAGTTTGAATCTGCCTCACTCTAAACTTTAAAAATTAAACTTAATATGCCATACTTTATGGAAACTTACGAAATTAACTTAGTGTTAACATACCAATAAAAACTTATTTAAAGTTTCAATTTAAATATTATCTAAGAACTTTAATTAACGAATTATCTGAAAATTTTGAAAAATCACACTTGACTTACACTGTTAAATTTAAACTTCTATCAAACTTACCATTATAAATATGCTTTAAACTCTCATAATTTCACTGTTTCTATAACAGGTGTTCCATTATATTTTAAACCTTTCTAAAACCATATTACTTTTGTACTAGTTGAAATAACGAAATGCAGTTTTTACCAGTCTTCTTTTAATTTCTATGTATTTCTATACAGGGATGGAGATCACCGGGGTG